GCTAGTGAAGCTTTGCGAGCGACACAGGAAAACCTGCTCGTGCGGACTGCCCTGGAGAAACGCTATGGAGAAGTCGAGAGAGTGCAGCTCGTAGTCACGCTGTGCTGCTACGTGGAGCAGCGCCGAAAGAGTAGTCATCTTCGGGGTCGCGGCGAAGGTTTGGAAGAAGTCAACACCCCCATGCTATCTGAAGCCTCTAGCAACGTAGCGAGCCTTGAACATCGGCAACTCTCCAGGAGGGCGCTTCACCTTGAAGAGCCACTGACCATCGACTACGTTCACCCCAGGTGGGGGAACTTCGTCGACGTAGGTGCCTGTGGATCTCCAAGATGCCATCTCCGTGTCCATGGAAGCTATCCACTGAGTGGCCCAGGGTCCCGAGGTCGCCTCAGCATAGGTGCGAGGGGTCGGGATGTCGAAGGCGTCTAGGTCCCCCAGGGACTAGCAGCATGGAGCAGAGACGAGGCGCGGCCTCGGACAGGAAAGCAAGCTCGTACTGCCGGTCCTCCAAGATGACACTGCCAAGGGCAGGAGCACCCCCGACGGACGGGCAGGGTCAGAGACCAGAGCGGTGGCGTAGTCAAGGCGGTGAGTAGAGGCGAAGTCAGCGACAAGCGTGTCAAGACTCGAGACAGGAAAAGACGGGTCGGTAACCAGAGAGGCAACGACCCTAGGAACAAGAGGACTAGCAAAACGAAGGTAGTTAGACAAATGAGGCGGAGAAACAACAAGGAATGACAGAAGAGGCTAGGGGACGAGGGGAGGACGAGACGCGTGGGAACAAAGCAACATAGGGTGAGAGCGCTAGACAAGAGAGAAAGGACGAGCAAAAAAGGGACGACGAGACCGGAAGTGGGACAGAGGCGTGGGGTCAAGTGACACAAGAGGAGACACAGGAGGAGAACGAGGGGGGAAACGAGCTAGAGACACTTCCGACGGAGGAAAGACAGGGCCGTAGACATGCAAGGGACTCGGCAGCAGGGGAGGCGCAGGCGGGTGGTCAGGGGAGGGAAGGCCGAGGAGGCGAAGGGCGGACACCAGCGGCGACTGCTGCTGTGGGTGCTGCTCCTCATCGACACCAGAACCTCCAGCTAAACCTCGGCTACCTCCGGGACATGCCAAACGAACACCCTCAGACCGAAAACCCTCTCCAACACTGTTGCCACCCCCAGGACCGGTGGGACAAGCCACGACTGTAACCCTAGGACTAGCACCCCCAGAACTAGAACCCTCTCCAGCACTAGTGCTACCCCCAGGACCACCGAGACAACCCATGACAGGAACTCCAGGACTAGCACCCTCCTCAATACCCGCACACGTAGAGCTCGTGGACAGCTGTTGCTGATGCTGCAGCGACGGCTACTGCTACGGCTGCGATGACGACGACGGCTACTGCTGAGGCAGCGATGGCTGTGGCTGCTGGGAAGGTGGAGGAGGAGACACCGAGGCGGAAACATGCAGCAAGAACTGCGCCGCGGGTCCACCAGAGTCAGGCGACTCCTCAACCGAGACAACCGACGGGAGGGTAGTGACATGAGAGACACCAAACGGAGCAGGATAGGGAGGGAGAAGAGTAGGGGCTACAGGGGGATTGGGAACCAGAAATAGGGGCGGGGAAACCGGGAGACCTCGGTGGGGAAAGCGGTGGTAGAAGGAGACAGACTCGTCGAAAGTGACGTGACGTGAATGAAAGAAGCGGTGAGTCGGCGGTGGTAAAACTACCAGTCAGACGCGTCGAGGGGGAAACCAAGGAAGACACAGTGGTCAGTGTAGGCAGTGAGCTTGTCCGTGCCAGAGGCACGAACGTGAGCAAGGCAACCCCAGATATGGAACGCGGATGCGTCACCAGGTAACCCTGTCCAGAGAAGGGTCGGCAAAACCTGCAGCCGCTGGGAGTATGGCCATATATTGTGCAGGTGAGCGGCGTAGCGAACAGCAAACGGCCACAGAAAATGGGGTGCACTGGCATGGATCATGGAGTTACGAGCCACCTCCATGACCAAACCGATGCATCGCTCAGCGACCCCATTCTGCTGCAGGGAGTCCGGCAGGGTGTACGACTGGGTGATGCCCGCCACACGACAGAACTGGCCAAGCTGACTAGAGGCAAACTCGCCGCCACGGTCGGAGTCGAGACACAGAACGGGGAGGCCGCGGTGGAAGCTCGCAGCTACGACCCACACGATGAGAACGTCGGGCACGTCGGCCTTCCACTCCAAGGGAAACATCGTGGTGTAGCGCGTCTAGTCGTCGACAAGCACTAGAAAGTAGCGCTCTCGACACGGCCCAGGAACGGGGGCTGGGCCCCAGACGTCCAGGTGCAGGGTCTGGAGTGTCGCGGTGGCTGGGGGAAGCGAGGAGGAGTGAGGAGCATGACGCAGCCGGCCCTCGACACAGGGCATGCACGGCGGCGCAGGCGAAGGAGGGAGGGCAGGGAGTGATGCAGGAAGACCGAGGACAATGCCGTGTTGGGACATGTATTGCAGACGCATGAGAGGGGGGTGATATAAGTGGTGGTTCCACAGAAGCGACGGGTGAGTGAGCGACCGACACGAGCAAGCCGCAGCGACCTGGGTAGACGCAGGCACCTGCGAAGACGCCCTCACTGGGGGGGACGCAGTGTCAAGCGTAAACTGGCTAGACACAGGATCCCAGGGGAACGTGGTCAGAGGGGCACCAGTGGCGGCCTCGGTACAGACTGTGTACCGCTCGTGTCCGGGGAACGTAGTGGTGACGCCGAGGTCCTGAAGACAGCCGACACCAACTAGAGAACGAGAGGATGTGCAGACTTGTAAGAGAGCCCGAGGGGACCGCCGGACAGGGAATGGTGGTGAAGCTACGGGCAACTACCATACATGAGGAGGGGTTAGCCAGCACGACAACAGTAGGGACGGCAATCGGTGTGAGTGTAGTGTAGTCGCGGAAGAAGTAGGCAGACGCTCCAGAGTCTAGCGTGAACGAGAGCGAAGCAATAGCGACAGCCGGTGGACGGGCTAGCGTGGAGCCTAGGCTAAACAAGGCAAGGGGTTCTACGTCTGACGTAGCATGGGAACCTAGGTGGTTCAAGGGAATATATCATAAGGGGTTGTAGTCTATATGAACATGCACTTAGCTAGCCTATAATATATACAAATCTTATGTTGACAATCCTGACCACCCTAAACACGCGGTTTACTCCAGTACATGGGGCTCGGGATTGGCCACATTGGGTAATGCGGCTAGGATGAACGTGATAAAAAAACTCTGAAACCCCTTTATAATGGTGTACATTATGCCAAACTTTCCGTCAGGGCTGGCCGAACATATTACTGTTCACCTCTCAAGCCGACACCTGGGGCTCGTGGAACCTGACCGTCCAGGCGTGCTATCCCGGACATGCCCAACAGAACAGTAACCTAAACAGCTCTCAACAGGCTGGCGCATAACCGAAGGCCTGCCACTGTAGTCGTAACAGCACTGCGAAAGCTTGAACCCACACATCCCTCCTTTCCAGGCCATGAAACCATGTGCTAGAAACCCTAAGGAGTTGTCCAAAGTGCCCAGCGACATCCGAACGTCGACATATCGGATGTCGTAGCAGCGATATGCAAGCCTTCTGTACCCTCTGTAGTTTACAAAATCGTAGAGAAGGTCCAAAGAGGGATGTCGACAAATGTCGTCGACATCCTTTCGACATCCGAGGGTTTATTCGGTACGATTTAGTAATCGTTTTAAAGGGTACGAGAAGTTTCTAGATCGGTGCCTCGACATCCGAGATGTCGATGCATGTCGTCGGATGTCGCTGGACACTTTGGACACTCCCTTACTGATCGGATGTCGGTGGGTATCGACACACCCGTCGACCTCGCACTTTGGACACGACATTGCACTTACGGTGTGGAATACTGTACTGCACTGTACAAATGCCCTGAGGGGTATCCTGAGGGCGTGTCCAAATAGTATGTCTGATTACGGTGGAGTAGCTTGCGTTGCGTTTCAAAGCGTTCAAATAACAACCTAGAATGGTTGGGAAGGTATTTTGGGAAAACAAACTTTTTGGACCCGCCCTGAGTGGCGGGACTGAAAAGGAGACACGTGTCGACTACTGTATCACGCAAAACCGCGGACTATCTTTATCAAACCGAGCTGAACCGTAAAATGCAGGAATTTTTTTCCACCTAGGACACACCCATCGAGGGACTAACGGACGTGATGGATGTAACCGACAAACGCGGAAGCATGATGGGGCATGCTGCAGTTATGTTTGGTTTGTCTTGCACTCATTTTGTCCCCACTTTTCTCCCCTCAGCCAGCCCTTCTCCCTCTGTCGTGATACTCCACTGCCCCCGCTAAAGGCGCGGTACTTGTAGTTCAGTTGGCAATGTTCAGGTCATTTACGTAAGGCAGGTTCGGATGTCAGGTTGACTACGATGCGCAGATATTTGTTTCGAGGTTTGCATGAAATTCATATCGTAACATAACCGAGAAGCACACGTGCGGGCGTCGCCAAATCGATTCATGCTGACAAAACCGAGCCACCAGCGATGTTACAATGTTGTGGCGTGCGACCGCGAAATTCATCTGGCGATGTTTGGGTCGGGGAATCCGGCCACGCGCAGATTCGCAAACCATTTTCGTTAATTTCGGGCATCAATCTCCAACTCCAGACTGGTTTAGGGCTTCTCGCATTCGATCATGGGCTGTCGATCACAAGTGTTACGTTGGTCGATTTGATTCATGCCAATCTGATAATAGGAACGTGCCAATGTGATTCATGTTTCGTATACATAGCCGTAGTCTAAACGTGTTACATTTCAATTACCGGGTAATGCAACACTAAGGTCGCCAAACGAACGCCAAGTGATCTACGTGCACCGCGCCCTAACCCTTGTGCTTTCTCGCCACCTACTGTCTCCACCTCGACAAATCCCCCCCCTCCACCCACCAACGCTCACCTACCTTCCCCTGTTCCGCTCAAAGGAGCTATGGTTCCGTAGATTTCTTAGTTTTGTTCTTGTTCTCTTCTCCATCCAGTCCAAAATTTCAGCATCATCATGGCGTATGCTTTCAGACGACATTGCAAGTTGTTCGCTCTGCTCTTGTTGATTCCATGTATCGCTATGTCCGTTTCCGTAGCGCAAGGTGACAGTGAAGATAGCGAGTCGGATCCCCCTCAACCTAGCGCGTTCGAGTCGTCCGTGTGGCGGCATCTCGCCGACGGCCGTCTGCGATGGGGCTCGCTGCCCGCGCCCGAGTCGTCGCCGCAGTCTCAGCCATCCGGCCACTGGTCCTCTCTCCTATCCTCGTGGCGCGCTGTCCTTCCACTCCCTCAGCCTGCCGACGGCGCGGACTCAGGTCTTGTGTGGGATCCGCAGACGCTGTCGGGCGAGGAGCAGAGAGAGCTACTCGCGGACCTGCTGGCTCGCGCCGACTCGCCTCTCAACGCGCCTGGTTCCGCGGAAGAGGTCGACGCCTCCGCAGGCCTGGAACCAGACGAGCCCATGCGTCGCTCGCTCGCCGACGATGGCAGTGCGGGAGGCAGCGGCGGCGGTGGCGGCGGCGTGGTTGCGTCTCTCGGGCTGAAGCCGCGCGGGCTCACCGGCGGCCCGTCTCCCGCCGACATCAACGGCACTGGCGCATTCCGGTTCGCGAGCGTGAAGGCGCGCGACTGGGTGGACTGGCGCATGACGAACGCCCTCACGGCCGTCAACGAGCAGGGGCAGGTGCGCCGAATGAGAGGGAATGGGGCAGGCTTGCGGATGCAGCTGGAACAACCCTGGATTCGGAAGCGACGCGTGGAGTCGAGTTTATTATGCGGAAAGTGACTGTAGCCATCCAGACGTTGGGAAGTGCCAGGCGTCCTGTATTGTACTTGCTAGTTGTCGATATCCTGTGCTTCCTCAAGGTTGCCGGCTACCCAGTCAGCTGCACCCGACCCACGCACCCACACACACCCAGCTGTGTTCCGCTCAACTCCGCATCTTATTCCTTCTCCCTCGTAACCCCACCTGATTCTTCCCACTTCCGCTCGCCCCCGCCACCTCTTTCCTCCCCTTCCCCCCCTCCAACCCCGTGTGTCGTGTGCCAGTGTGCGAACAGCTGGGCGGTGGCAGCGGCGGACGCCATAGCGTCCATGTGGGCCATCGTCACCGTCGCGCCCTCCGCGCCGCAGCTCGACGCCGCTCGCCTCTGCTCGTGCGCGTCGCCCGGCGGGACGGCGTGCTGCCACGGCGGGTGGACGGAGTGGGCCCTCTCGTACGCCTTATACGGAAAGGGCGTGGCGGGCGGTGACGCCGCGGGCAGCCCAGACGCCACGTGCGACGCTGTTGCGGCCGACGCCGTGAAAGCTAAGGTTGGTGTGCGGACGAGCGAGGCGCAGAGTGCGTGGCCCTGGTAGCATCAGTGCGAGAACCTTCTCCTTTTGCCTTGCCTGGTGTCAGCGACATCCGAGCCGCCTTACCAGTCGCCGTCGCTCATTACATCGACATGTGTTTGCTGGTTCTTCCCATTGCTCCCGCGCGCAGATCACGGGGTGGGAGCGCGTGCCAGCGTTCGATGTGGAGGCGATGCGGAAGGCCGTGAGCCAGCAGCCCATTATCGCGTTCCTCTCCGCCTCCAGCGCCGACTTCACGGTGCGCCGCCTCGCCCGCGCTGCTCCCACCATGTCTTTGCCGTCAAGCAGTCACCACTTGCCGCCTCCCTCCGTCTTCCTCTCTTCCCTGCCTCCTCGTGCCCCCTCACCCCTAACCATTTGTTCCATCCTCTCGCCTAACTCCTCTCTCCGCTCGCCCCTCGCCTCGCCTGTCCCCCTCGCAGGGCTACACGGGCGGCTTCTACAACGGCGCATGCGGCGGCGACGTGGACCACGCGGTGCTCATCGTGGGGTACGGCGTTGACCCGGTCAACGGCGTGTACTGGCTCGTGAAGAACAGCTGGGGCGCGGCGTGGGGCGAGCAGGGCTACATGAAGCTCGCCGTCAAGCCGGGCGCCGGGAAGTGCGGCATCAACCAGTACGTCTCGCGCGCGCGCTCGCTCCTTCGGCCCGCACACTCCTTCGCCCCGCACGCTCCTTCGCCGCGCTCGCGCTGCCCGTTCCTTTCCTTTACTCCTCAATTCACCACGTGCTGTTCTCTACCTTCCCTCTCCAACCAACCTCCCCCACGCTCCCCCCAGAATCGCGCCCATCTACCCGGTCTACTACCCCGACAGTCCTCCCGCCACCAACTTCCCCGTGGGCCCGCTGGCGGCGTCGGGGCAGGCCGCGGTGGAGCCGCCGTACTGGGAGGCGAGGTGGAAGCCCGCCGCCAGCGCCGCCCCCTGCGCGTCGCCCATCAACCCGTGCGGCGGCGGGCGCTGCAGCAAGAGCCGCGACGGCTGGGCGCGGTGCGCGTGCCCCGCGGGGTTCGTGGAGGTGGCGGGCGCGCCGACGAGCAAGTGCGTGCCCACCAAGATGTGCAGCGCGGGCGCGCTGGACCCCTGTGGCGCGGGCACGTGCGCGGACGTGAAGACGGGCGGATACACGTGCCAGTGCGACGAGGTACGCGCACGGAGGCGCCAAGGGGCAAGCAGCGAGTGCGTTGGGGTTGGCACGCGTCGGGGAAGCAGTGAGGAATGCACTATGACTGAGTTTTCCCGTTCTCCTTGATTTTGCAGGGTGTTTTTGAGAATTCTCAAAAACACCCTGCAAAATCAGTTTTCCCGTTCTCCTCGCTGCACTACTCGCTGCATTGCGTGCTCCTCCCTCTCAAGCCCGCCTACCTTTCGCGCCCACTCTCTCGCACTCTCTGGATCCTCAGTTGCTATGTGTTAGTCTGACCCCTGTGTCACGCTGCAGGGCTACGTCATCGGTGCCACTGCAAGCGGCGCTACCACATGTGTGCCCATCGCTGCTGGCGGCGGTGCACCCACCTACACGACAGTCTGGGGTGACACGTGCCAGGAGCTGATCGGCAGCTTCGGCCTGGACGAGGTTACTCTGCTGCGGCTGAACCCCTTCCTTGACTGCTCTCAGCGCATCCCAGCAGGTACTATCGCACTGCTTGCACTCCTCTCCTCGCCTCTCCTCATCGCTCCCATCACGCAGCTCTCACGAGCCCCTTTCAAACTCCCCTCTGCCCCCTCCCTTCCCGCTGTCCGCACTGCAGGTCTCATCCTCGCAGTGTCAGACGCCACAGCCGATGCCACCGCAGGCTGTGCGTCCTCGTACATGGTCGCACCAGGGGAGTCGTGCAGCGGCGTCGCCTCCAAGCTGAGGATATCCGTGGCTGCGCTCAAGGCCCTCAACCCCGCAGCAGACTGTGCGCGCCTCTACCCCCGCCAGCAGCTCTGCGCCAAGGCGGCCACCATCGCCCCCGCCTCATCCGGCCCTGCCTGTGGGCTCACCTACGTGGCCAAGGGGAAAGACACCTGTGCCAGCATCAGGCTGACTTACGGGCTCACACCAGCGCTCTTTGCCTCGTATGTGTGCTGCCTGCTTGCAATCTTGTGCTCATGAGGTTTCTCATATTTTCTGTACCAGCTTCAATGTATTCGTAGTGGGGGGACGATGCACGTACCAACACAGCCTCTCTTGCCTTGCTGCCCTGCAGGTTGAACCCAGCGCTGCGCTGCACTGGGCCGCTGCCGGTGGGCCTCGCCGTGTGCGTTTCTCCCCTGTCAACTGTCACAGTAAGTCAGCTTTATATGCTCCAGGTTATGGGTGCTTGCTGTTTTCCCTCTGCATCCCCCTGTCCATCACCTGTTGTATCTGTCGACCTTCCATGCTCGGTCGCATATGGCTCTTGGAGTACGGTCCCTTACCACTGTCTCCCATCCGCCTTGCCCTGTGTGTAGGCTGTTGAGTGCACGGCGCGCCACGCGGTGCAGCACGGGGACAGCTGTGTGGCCATCGCCTCTGCTGCTGGCCTCTCCTCCACGGCCTTCCTCGCCATCAACCCAGGCATCAGGGTACACCCTCTCTTCCACAACCCACTCCGTGCTACTCTCTCCTGCAGTATTACCTGGTTTTCGAGAATTTCTCCAGTACTCTTTCATGCAGACACAACCCTCAGTTCGTCTTCCCCTCCCCCCTTCAATCCTGCACCCCTTCGCTTTCCAGTGTGAGCCTCAGCAGCTGCAGGTCGGCCAGTCGGTGTGCGTCGACTCACCTGCGCTCGAGAACATCACAGCAGCGCTGCTCAAGGCGCCCAGGCTTCTGCCATACGTGGTGGCCGAGAACGACACGCTGGCCAGCATTGCCGTTGCCTTCTTCCCGCGCTGCGGCACCACTACGGGCGAGCCTGCCATCTGTCAGGCCAATGGACTGGTGCCGTGTGACAACAGTGCGCTCACGCCGGGACTGGCCATTGTCGTACCCTGTTCTCCAAGGGAGAGCAACTGTGGCTGCCCTACCAGCATCATGGTCAGGCGTCTTTTCCTGTCCCACAGACCATGCTTACCCCAGTTTCCTCATTTGGTTTCCCAGCATCTCCTGCCTTTTTGTCTTCCACATTCAGACTTGCTAGTCCTTCCTCTTGGACCCTTGGCTAACTGCTGTGTTCACCATTGTTACAACACATTCCTTGGCTGCCCCCAACAGGTCTGTGGAGCGGACTACAGCACGTACCCTTCTTACTGCGAGGCCCTGTGCAATCGTGCCGTCCCTGTGACACCCGGTGCCTGCACGCCATGCGAGCAGGCGTGCTACAAACGGTCGGGCCTGAAAGCAGACCCCAGCTTCCAGGCCGGGTGCGTCGTGGACCTCAACTCCACCTTCTGCTCCTATCCCACGTGGCCCCCTCCTGACTGGAACCTCATGGCTGACTCGCCCTGTGATTTTGAAGACGCGTCGTGCGATGCTGTTTGCGCTGACACAGCTTCCATGCTCGCCAGCCCCATCACCGATGGGGCGCAGTGGGGAGTGTTCAAGGCCCAGTGCAAGGCGCAATGCATGTGCACGCCACGCGTTCCATGTGGTGGTGACCAGTGCATTGACTCATGAGAAGGGAATGTAAATTAGATCATTGGGGTTATGGGTTGATTGGGGTTGCTGCAATAACATGTTCATCCATGATATGGATAGATGTACCGTATTCCCCCGTATACAACACCCCGCAAAAGTTTAACTCCCATGGATAGTTTGAGTGGACATGGGTGCTTTATTAAAGTGGATATTGATAACACCCGCCTTCGGTGATTGCAAACCTTTGAACACCCCCCCGCTTTATAAAATGTTTTATAGTCAATAAACAGAGCTACGTGTCAACATATACATATGCTGTATGTAGAAGTTATAGGCTAGCCTAGGTGTGTGCTTCTAGTGAGTACAACCCCAACAGATACATGTTCTAGGTTTCTCACACTAGTCCATTCATTCTCTTTCTAACATGGTATCATGAGTAGGTTCGGTTCCTCTCGCCCACCCACGCTTCCGACATAGGCCCTAGCCGCCCTCGTGACCCGTCCCTAGCTGGCCCCCTCCCCCTTGGCCGTCCCGTCCGCCCATAGCCGGCCCCCTGGCCGTCGCGCCCACCCCTAGCTGGCCCCCTGGCCGTCGCGTCCGCCCCTAGCCGGCCCCCTGGCAGTCGCGTCCGCCCCTAGCCGGCCCCCTGGCCGTCGCGTCCGCCCCTAGCCGGCCCCCTGGCCGTCCCGTCCGCCCCTAGCCGGCCCCCTGGCAGTCGCGCCCGCCTCTAGCCGGCCCCCTGGCCGTCGCGTCCGCCCCTAGCCGGCGCCTTGGCTGTCGCGTCCACCCCTAGCCGGCCCCTTGACCGTCGCGCACGCCCTTAGCTGGCCCCCGGGCCGTCGCGTCCGCCCCTAGCCGTCCCCCTGGCCGTCGCGTCCGCCCCTAGCCGGCCCCCTGGCCGTCGCGCCCGCCCCTAGCTGGCCCCCTGGCCGTCGCGTCCGCCCCTAGCCGGCCCCCTGGCTGTTGCGCCCGGCCTTAGCTGGCCCCCTGACCGTCGCGTCCGCCCCTTCCCGGCCCCTTGGCCGTCGCGCCCGCCCCTAGCTGGCCCACTGGCCGTCGCGTCCGCCCCTAGCCGGCCCCCTGGCCGTCACGTCCGCCCATCGCCGGCCCCCTGGCCGTCGCGCTCGCCCTTAGCTGGCCCCCTGGCCGTCGCGTCCGCCCCTAGCCGGCCCCCTGGCCGTCGCGTCCGCCCCTAGCCGGCCCCCTGGCCGTCGCGTCCGCCCCTAACCGGCCCCCTGGCCGTCGCGCCTGCCCCTAGCCGGCCCCCTGGCCGTCGCGCCCGCACCTAGCCGGCCCCCTGGCCGTCGCGCCCGCCCCTAGCCGGCCCCCTGGCCGTCGCGCCCGCCCCTAGCCGGCCCCCCTGGCCGTCGCGTCCGCCCCTAGCCGGCCCCCTGGCAGTCGCGTCCGCCCCTAGCCGGCCCCCTGGCCGTCGCGTCCGCCCCTAGCCGGCCCCCTGGCTGTCCCGTCCGCCCCTAGCCGGCCCCCTGGCAGTCGCGCCCGCCTCTAGCCGGCCCCCTGGCCGTCGCGTCCGCCCCTAGCCGGCGCCTTGGCTGTCGCGTCCACCCCTAGCCGGCCCCTTGACCGTCGCGCACGCCCTTAGCTGGCCCCCGGGCCGTCGCGTCCGCCCCTAGCCGTCCCCCTGGCCGTCGCGTCCGCCCCTAGCCGGCCCCCTGGCCGTTCGCGCCCGCCCCTAGATGGCCCCCTGGCCGTCGCGTCCGCCCCTAGCCGGCCCCCTGGCTGTTGCGCCCAACCTTAGCTGGCCCCCTGACCGTCGCGTCCGCCCCTTCCCGGCCCCTTGGCCGTCGCGCCCGCCCCTAGCTGGCCCACTGGCCGTCGCGTCCGCCCCTAGCCGGCCCCCTGGCCGTCACGTCCGCCCATCGCCGGCCCCCTGGCCGTCGCGCTCGCCCTTAGCTGGCCCCCTGGCCGTCGCGTCCGCCCCTAGCCGGCCCCCTGGCCGTCGCGTCCGCCCCTAGCCGGCCCCCTGGCCGTCGCGTCCGCCCCTAACCGGCCCCCTGGCCGTCGCGCCCGCACCTAGCCGGCCCCCTGGCCGTTGCGCCCGCCCCTAGCTGGCCCCCTGGCCGTTGCGTCCGCCCCTAGCCGGCCCTCTGGCCGTTCGCGCCCGCTCCTAGCCGACCCCCTGGCCGTTCGCGCCCGCTCCTACCTGGCCCCTTCTAGCGCCCGCCTGGCTCCCTCTGCAGCCCGCCCGTCCCCTCCACAGCGCCCGCCCGACCCCTGCTAGCGCCCGCCCGGCCTGTTGCGCCCGCCCGTCCCACACTGCCCGCTCGGCCCCAACCAGCGCCTGCCCGGTCCTCTACTTTATCGCTATGTTCCTTCCTGACCGCCTTGCTAGTGCACGCGACCAGATCCTTAGCCAGCACCCGGGTGATCTCACCCTGCCAGCCTTTGTCACCGCCTTGACAGAGATCAAGACTCGCCAGCGCACTATCGCTCAGTCGAGCGGTGCGCCGGCAGTCTCTATCTTTCACGGCAATGCCCACTCCCAGTGCACGTTTACTGATGTTTCGGATGCGGTCGCCACTGCGACCCCTCTGACCGAGACTGCAGCTGCGGTACACCCGCAGCAGCGCTCGCGCCGCGCCGGTCGTGGCCGCCAGGGAGGGCGTGGTGGTGGAGCTGGTTGTAGCAGTGGTGGTACCGAGGACAGTGGTTTTACTGAGGGGACTGCCTCAGCTAGTCAGGAGCAGCAGCAAGAGAAGCCGCAGCAGCCGTCTCAGCAGTCGCAGTCGTCGTAGCAGCTGTCCCAGCCCCAGCCGTGGGCTCGCCTCACCCCGGGTTCGCCTGACAGCTTCGTAGGTGGTGGCCGTAGTGGCGGCCCGCGCAGCTTGGCGTCTACCGGCAGCTCCGTTCGTGTGACCTGCCAGTACCAGCTTCAGACCGGGCCTCTCCGCGGCACTCTGTGCCGCCGCCCGCACCCGAGTGCCCGCTGTTTCCGCCGCCTCGACGATCTCTTTCGTCGTCGCTTTGGCCCGGCCCCGGACCTCCCTGGCTGGCACAGCCTGCTTCGCCAGGGCGTGCCGATCTTTGATTTAGATATGGATCAGATAGGTGCTGCTTTGCACCCTTGTATAGCTTAGCCTCCCCTCCTGCGTTAGGCGTAGGACTGCCTAGTTTGCCTAGCCTAGTTTCTGCACCGACTCCGTTCCCGGCCTCCGCTACTGCCTCGCTGTCCTTCACTATCGACTCCGTTGCTTCTGCCTGTTTCTTCCGCGACCGCTCCACGCTCACGCCGCTTGCTGCGCCTGCTGTTGTTGCTCTCGCTGACCCCTCCGCGGGTCCTGTCGTCGCTCGCAGCTCCACTTCCCTTCTCTGTCCAGCCGTTCCCTCGGGCTCTCTTACAGGCCTCCACGTTCCCTTGTTCTCCAGGAACCTGGTTGATGTCGGCCGTCTTCAGGACCTCGGCGTCACCACTACGTTCCCTGGGCACGAGCGGTTCGCTGTCTGTACCGAGGCTGTCTCAGGTTCCCCCCTTGTGATGTTCCCCCGGGACCCGGTGTCCGGTCTGTTAACCCTCGACACCGCTTCCCCCCCGGTTGGTGCGTCCTCCCAGGTCGCTGCAGCTTGCTCGTGTCAGTCCCTCACACACCCGTCCCTTCTGTGGCACCACCGCTTGGGTCACCCTGCTCTCCAGCGCATGCGCAACATGTCTCAGCACGGTCTTGTCTTAGGCCTCCCCGAGTCGCTCCTGGCACTTCCCCCCTCGACTGCGCCACCGTGCACGCCTTGCGTCGAGGGCCGGCTCCGCCGTGCCCCTCACTCCTCCTCGCTTCGCCCTGCTACTGCTCCCCTTCAGACCCTGCACCTGGACGTTTGGGGCCCAGCCCCCGTCCCCGGATCGCGCAGTGAGCGCTACTTTCTTGTACTCGTCGACAACTACACGCGCTACACCACGGTGTTTCCCCTGGAGCAGAAGGCTGACGTGCCCGACGTTCTTCTCCCGTGGGTTGTGGCTGCGCGTCTTCACCGCGGTCTCCCCGTGTTGTGTCTCCTCTCTGACCGTGGCGGCGAGTTCGCCTCTGGTCGGCTTGGACAGTTCTGTCGTGCGGAGGGCATCGCCCAGTCGTACCCCTTGCCGGACTCGCCACAGCAGAATGGGGTTGCTGAGCGCCGCATCGGCTTGGTCATGGAGGTTGCTCGTACCTCAATGATTCATGCCGATGCCCCCCATTTTCTGTGGCCGTTTGCTGTCCGCTACGCTGCTCACCAGCTTAACCTGTGGCCACGCTCCCAGCGGCCGCGGGTTTCGCCGACCATCCTTTGGACCGGGTCCCCCGGTGTCGCGTCTGCGTTCCACGTCTGGGGTTGCCTTGCTCACGTTGGTGCCTCTGGCACGGACAAGCTCACTGCCCGCACTGTCCCCTGTGTCTTCCTCAGTTTCCCCCTGGACTCGTCTGACTGGCTGTTCTACCACCCGCAATCTCACCGCTTCCTTCACTCTCGTGATGTCACCTTTGACGAGTCTCTCTCCTTCTACCGTCGCTTCCCTCACCGAGGTCTCCCGGTTCCCCCCCCCTTGTTCCTGGCTCCCTCTCTCCCGGTAGCCCCTACTCCCCTCCCGCCTCGTCCTGCCCCGTCTGGTGTCTCCCACGTCACTCCCCTCCCGTCGCTTGTCCCCGTTGAGGAGTCTGCTGACTATGGTGGTCCCCCAGGCCCGTCATTACCGCGTACCCCTTTCCCGGTGTCTTTGCTCCGCTGTCGCAGCAGCCGCCGCCGTCGCCGCCGCTGCCGCCGCTGCCGCTCTTGGCCTCTGGGGGTGCTGGCCTTGAGGAGGGTGTTCGTCCTGCAGCCGTCGCCGCCGGTCTCCGCTCTTCGCCTGCTCGGCCTTCCCTCTCCCGACCGCTCGCTGGTGTCTCCCCCACCACCTTCTCACCTTCCTGTCTCCGGCCCTGTGTTCCCGCCGCCGAACTTGTCGTCGGCCCGTCTTCCTCCTCGTTCCCCTTTTGTGTCCCCTCCGCTGTCTCCTGACCCTACACCCCCGTCCCACGTTTGGTCTCGCCGTCCCTCACGTGCTCGTCCCGTCTCTCCTATCCTGCGCTCCCACCCTATGTTGCTCCGTTCCCACTCGTCTCGTCCTCCCCTCCTCCCGTCCCCTCCTCCCTCGTCGCTTGTTGTTGCACCTCCCCTGCTGTCTGACTACCTCCGTGCCACTCGTCCCCTTGTCCCTCGGGTTCTTGCCTCTCTTGTTACAGACCTGTCTGTT